GGGTAATAAAAAATCAATTTTATTATTCTTTTTTTATCAATAAGATATTGCCTAGCTTGATCACCCACTTCATTCACAACAATTCATTACAAATGAATTCAGATTTTCTAAATCAAATCTTCCCAAAAGGATGAGTATTTGCTGTCATTGAAGACATTCAAAAGAATATGCCAAAACTCTGAAAACAAATTTAAATGACTTCTAAAAATGGTTTGAAAAGTGAATGACAGCATAAGTAAAATAAATGCACAGGACCCACACTGATTACTTTGAAGTGGGTAACACTCACTTTGAAATGTAAATTAGGGTTTATTTTTTTTTTAATTTAGTCTCTAAATTACTTCAGTCACTTTGTAGACATAAGAGATACAGGAGATTGGTAGGAACTGCCAATGACTTCAGGATATCTTCTATAAGTTGTATTTTTTTAAATTCCTGATTTAGCTTTTTTGTTATCATTTAACTTCTTTTTCCTAAAAGTAAAGTGCAGAAAAATCTGGTTAATTGAGAGCTCTAGATAATCAAGATTTCTAAATAATCCAGGTTTAACTATGCAACTTTTCCCTCTTTTGAAGTTAAAACGTTTAAAACAGAATCACTAGCTGAATCTCTGAGTTAGATGCAACTGCAAAGGTTTCTGGTCCAACCCATCATAACTGAACAAGAATCCTCTCTAAAATCTATCTGACAAGCAGTTATTTAATACACATTCTTAACATTATTCTGAGAAGGAACAAGAATCATTACTGACTAGTATATCCAACCATTACTTTTCCAAAAAGAGAAGAGCTAACAGGCTCCAAGGACCAAGGATACTGCTAGAAATTCCATTTAAATGTTCCATCATGTTAAGATGCTTAAATGGTCTATAAAAGTATTCAGATTCTACCTTTGGGGCTAAAGTTAATAACTATCCCATAAAAGATAAGACTACTTAAACCAAAATTATGTCCTTCATTAGATACATAGATATACTTATTTTGCCTTTCCAAATAAAATTAATTTTCAGTTCGTTGTAGTCAACCCTTCAGGGTATAAAATTGAGTCACTGGTCAACAGTAAATATCATTTCAGCATAGGTAGGCAAAAGACCAGGAAACAGATTTAAAGACTTTCTTTACCATATTCCTCACAAGAATTAAATCTCTAATTAAAGAAAAATGAATCTTAAAAATTACTACTTTAAATTTTCTCTGAAGGTCAACTAAATTTAAATAATGGTATTAACTATAAAAATGATTTTAAAAACTGAAGAATCAATGAAAATAAAAGTATTGCTTTCATACAGTCCTAGCAGATGCTCGCTTCAAAATGTCAAGGCACATACTACTATCATACCTATCTTCAACAATCCAGGGTAATTTCCACACAATGAGAAATCATCAGAATAGGACTTTCAAGTACACCTTTACTGAAGAGATTATGCCTAATGCATTTAATCACAACTACCAATAAACAATTTCAATCACTAATTACACAGATAAGAAGAGAGAGGAAGTAAGCTGACCATGGTCATACAGGCAGTTTATGGGATTCCAGATGAAATTTTCTGACTCCAATTCCAATGTGATCTTTCAATAAAATCAAACTGCTCGCACTGGACAAAGCAGCTAACCTTGAGGCCCTAGGCTTCTCACCGGGAGACCCGACAGTTACCCCAGGCTGAGACATCTACACACTAAACCAACCAACTCCAGGCAAGAGGGACTCAAGAAACAACTCAAGACAAGACACAATAAAACACTCCAGTCAGGAAGGAGGAAGGAACAAAGCAGAGGGCCCACATTTCTGGAAATGGACAGGGAGCAGCTGATGAACATCTCCCTTACCCCGTCCCAACACCACGTATAGTTCCCTACTCAGTAAATTTTGCTTCAAACTCATAAATATGAGAAAGCTAGAATTTGTTCCAACAGGTTTGATATATTGGGAAACATTCTGAACATAACTTGAATTCTGAGTTTTCTTCTGTTCAATTACTTCTGAAAAATTGAGAATGCGGGGGAACTAGACCACCTCGAAATAATTCACAAGCTGCCAGCCTTCTGATGCTCACTTCCACAAGTACATTTCAGGCCTTTTTCAAGGTAAAGTGCCATAATTATTATGTATCTTTTGATGCAGTACAAGATGTGAATGGAGAAGGGCAGTCCGAACCACCTCCACCCCCTTCTTCTGTGGCCTCCACTTTGGGCCTCAGAGGCTCCAAAATGTAGCTTGCTCGACTTGCTCCCCTGGGGAACCACCATTGATTGTATTTATGTATTTCTTAATTAATTAACATGTATAAAACCGTGCTACCGATTTATTAGGTTCCTATCTTTTTGTGTGTCATTGACAGTTTTTGAGCATTATGGCCCAATCCCATTTCCCCAATAAGCTTTCTGGCTTTTATTGTTTGATTTTGCGTAGCCCAGTCCTTTGTGGGAATTCGTATGTCACATTACAGCAGAACTGACTGTACTGTGCAGCTGTCCAAGCCATTACTGGATTGTGGCAACTTGAGCTTTGCTCAAAGAAACCAAAATTATAGGACGATGCCCCTTTTTGTGGGCATAAGGATGTGTGTGGTGTGTTCTGCCCATGTAGGTTATATGTGTCCACATGGGTCTGTCTAGCTGTGGGCTCAAAGGCGGTATGAGTATCTCTGGGGTCTCCTCCACCCACCCTTCTCCAAAGGAGACTTTGATTCCTGCAGGAGGTTTGGGCCAGAGGCTACTAGTCCCTTTGCTCTCCCCTGACATGGTAGGTTCCAGTCTAGACTTATATCTATCTGCCCCCCAAAGGCTGTTAGTCTAGAGAAAATAATTTTTAGGTTTATGCTGTGCTCCTGATCACTATTCCTTATCAGGGAAAGAGTGTCCCCAAGTTATACATCCAAAGCTTAATTTCCTTCCCACCAAATGCCAGTTCCACAATAACACATGTAGCAAATGAACCAAACCATTTATCCAAGTTGATTGCAAAACAGGAATCAGAGTAGGTATACGTATAATAATGTACCAAACAATACAGAGCAAATGAGCTCTTACTGGAAGCTAGATGGCTCGACTTAACCAAGACAGAGACCCAGATCCCAAGGGGAAATTCCCCCAAGTCTCTAGCATGATAAGCTGGGGACAGGGAAATGATCAAGATGCCAGTTCCTCTACAAGTCAGCTTCTAAGACTGTTCACACCAAACAGAACTGTATGCTTTTCAGGTGCATGTCTGGTTGAAATTTAAACATACTGTTCTAAATCTTTCACTGAAATAAAAGAAAAATGAATTCTCTACTTTTCTCACTCTAGGGTAAAGAGTCTTCTAGACTCAATAATTTGAACTGTCAAGGAATAACAGCAAAAACAGAGAGCTAAAAGTGGCATTTTATAAAAGTAAATGCTTTCATCACAACATTTCAAGGTTGATAGTACAATAATTAAGGCATTTGTAAAATAGGGCTGAGCTAGGTGGCACAGTGGATAGAGCACCAGTTCTGAAATTAGAAGACCTAAGTTCAAATCTCGCCTCAGACACTTATGAGCTGTGTGACACTGGGCAAGTCACTCAACCCGGATTGCCTCCCCCTAAAAAAAGTAAAATAGGGCTGAGAAATTAAGTGATTTGTCCACATGCTGACTGCCAGGACTAACCCAGGTCAAAATTACTTCCACTTTAATCCAATGTCTCTCAACAGGATCTAGTATCCTCCCTCTTTGGCCTCTTCCCTCTTTTGTCTCTGCAGAACACTAATCAGCCAAATCAAAAAACACCTGAGCATCTACTGTGCACAAATGTTTAGTAATTTTTGTTAATAAAAATGTAAACCATTTCCTCTCCAGTAAAATTAGATGCATTAAACAGGAACTAGGGAAACAGTGGACACCCAAGACCCCATTAGAATCTCTTGACTCTCATTTTCAGTTCTGAGGTGTCAGGATTCAAAGGCCATTTTGACATCGGATATACAGACTCCCCTACATATATCTATATCTATATCTATATCTATTTTGGTCCAGAGATAACACTGACTTTTGAGTCAGAGGAAGAGGGATAAAATTCAAGTTCTGGTTCTTACTCCCTGTGTGACCTTGGACCCTTTAAGCTCTCTGGGTCTCTGCTACTTCTTCTGTAAAATGGCTGGAGTAGATGAGAGCCAGGGTCACCTCCAGCTCTACATCTATGATTTAGAAAATCACAGACGCAAATGGAAAAGGCATTAGAAGGCAGCATTGGATTCTGGGTTCAAATCCCTGCTCTTCTACTTAATGAGTGACCTTGGGCAAGTCAACCTCTCTGAATCAATTTCCATGAAAATTCTGAAATGACGGAAGATTGTTACCAGAGATAACTTCAAGGGTCCCTTCCAGGTCTAGGTCAATGAAAACAGTTTGGGCTTGCTTCTAAACATACAAAGGCCCCAGCTTCAAGGAGTGAGCATTCAGTTCACTCCCATTCTGGGCAGGGGTAGCAGCAAATCTGGCCCTTCTCACCCTCTGAGCAAGCACTGAAGTGTTGGAAAAGACCTTAGAGGTCATCTAGTCCAACACTCTCATCTTATAGATAAGGAAACTGAAGCCTCAAGAGCAGAGGCAACTTGTCCAAAAGGTCCAAAGGAAAGTAAGTGGCAGTGGCAGTGGCAGTATGAACCTAGGACCTCTGACTGTGAATATGGTTTGCAAAGGGCTTTGCTGGCAAGAAGCCTGGGAATGAGCTACTACTGAAGTGATCCGCTTATTTTACGGAGGAGGAAGCCTGGGCTCAGAGAGGTTGGGTGGCCCGCCCACGGTCATACAGCAAGTGAAAGTCAGCCCCGGTATCCTGGCGCAGGAGCCAGGTCTTTGCCAGGACTCCAAGCCTGGAGCTCGCCACTGCATCCCCCCTCCCCCCCTCACGCGGAGATGGTACCGCCCGTGCCGCCCTGGCAGAGAGGCCGGCGGACCGGTCCACTCGCGGGATGGGGGAGAAGGTGGAGCTGGCACCAGCCTCTAGTCCGGAAAAGAAAGCTCCAGGAAACACACCCCTTCAAAAACAAAGCAACAAGCCGAACCCTGGGCCAACCGCTACTGCCTCCGCTATTTCTTCCGTCCCGGTGCGGCCCAACGAGAACACGCAAACCGCCGGCCTCGGAGCAGAGGAAAGGACAGTCCAGCAGCGGCCGCACTCATAGCGCTTTCTGCGCAGCCCCGGAAGCTCCAGAGCGGCAGAGGAAGTCCCGCCTTCCTCCTGGAGAAGTCCGGCCTCCGTCGTCACTGTACGCTTTATACGTCAGAGTTTCACCAATATAGGACGTCTTTTAATCATTAAATCAACCAATCAATTAAAAGCAATCAATTAGCATTTATTAAGCGCCTGCAATGTGCCAGGGACTATACCAGGGGTGGGGAATGTGCGGCCTGGAGGCTACGTGTGGGTCACACTTGAGGCCCTAGAGGGCCACGTGTGGCCTGGAGGCCGCAGGGTCCCCACCCTGGGCCTGTGCTAAACTCTGGGGTTACAAAATGAGACAAAAGACACTCCCTGCCAGCAAGGCCCTTATAATGCATGGGGGAGACAAGATGCAAGCAAATACAAACTAGCAATGCACTGAATATGTTGGAAATAGTTAACAGGAGGAATCTAAGGGTTCCCTTTCTAATCCAGTCAAAGGTATAAGTAGTATGGGGTGCTCAATGAGGAGGCATCTCTGGTGGGAGGGCTTGCTGAGGCCTTCTGAGGACTGTTCATCCACTTTTGGTGTCCACCTGTCACCCACCTCTCACCTGTGGCTTCATGAAGCTACAAAAAGTATAAACACCTCTGCAAAACCATCTTATTAGATGGGCTAAACCAGGTTGAGGGTAATCGACAGGCATCAAACCAGTGGGTGAGTGAGGGGTATGTCTACCTCAAGCACATGAAGACTTCCACCCAGTGGAACGGACACATGAGAACAGTTTATTCTAGTGGCCATGAAGGCAGCTGAAGCAGGCCCTGTGGAGGGCTTAGAACATGGTCATGCATTGAAGATGCCAAGGTCACCCACTACATCCTGGGCAATTGACAGTTCTTGACTTTTTGTCTTCCCACTGGACTTTGATGACTCTGGAAGAGACAGTGAGGCTGATGACTTTGTGCAACTCTGTCTCACTTAAATCCAATTCACATGCAAGTCAAGAAGACGTCATCTGTGATGTTATTGGTCCTCTTTGGAAACAAAGGACAACTTTTGTTCTGATTCTTCTTTCACAACATGACTAATGCAGAAATATGTTAATATGATTGTACATGCATAGCCTATATCAGATTACATGCTGTCTTGGGGAGGGGGTAGTAGAGGGACAGGGAAAATTTAGAACTCAAAATCTTATAAAATGAATGTTGAAAACTAAAAATAAATAAATTAAAAAAAAAAAGACAAACAGTCTTAGTGAGAAACAAGGATATTGCTCTTTTCTTTCATCAGAAATAGTTGAGAATCAGTGAATATATTGAAAAAGTTTGAGGAATGGAGGAAACTGATATCCTCAATCTTCTCAGTGAAGTTGGAGCCCTAAGTCATTTACCCTAAGTGAGCTGGGACACGGAGGAGACACTTAGGTTTGAGAGAGAAAGGAAAAGGTTTCGAACAGTTGCTTTGGGAAAACAGAGAGGGCATGCAGTAGGTATAGTGCCAGGCCTAGAATCAAGAAGATCTGAGTTAAAATCTGGCCCCCAACACTTACTAGCTTGGGTGGCTGTAAGCAAGTCACTTAACCTCTGTCTACCTCAGTTTCCTAGATCTGTAACCTAATTGTGAGAATCAAATGAATTAACATATGCAAAACACTTTGCAAACCTTAAAGCACTATATAAATGTTAGCTATTATTAACTTTTATTATAGGCTATGTGAAAAGTGATGATGGCTGAACTTGGGTGATGAGTCTGTGAATGGAGAGGAGGGACACATGCAAAACATGTGGAGGTAAATTTGGGTACACTTGGCAACTGGTTAGATGTGGTACGTAAGGGATAGAGGAGTAAAGCATGACTCCACGGTTTCAAACTGAGGTTGACTAAGAGGATGGTGGTACCTTCAACAGAAATACTTCACCCCACTATCATCTCACCTTCCTCTTTGTGGAAGGGCCAATAGAACTTTAATTGATACAATATTTTCCACAATGTCTGGTCTCTATAGTTCTATGCACTTTCTAATTATATGTATAAGGATATGGTTTTACTTCATAGAATTTTGTAAGTACAAATGCTATTCTTCCTCACTCTGAGGAATGTAAATAAATCCATATTGTTTGCTATGGAATATATACATGCATACATACATTTATACATTGCTATAGTAATAGGTAAAGTCTTGTTAGGATCTTCGTATGTTAGAAAGTTATTCCCCTACTGAATCATAGGCACATCTATGAAGCCTTTGCTGACTTAAGAAAATAATTTGTTAATTCTCCAGATAATTGGCATGTATCCTATAAATGTTGATTGCCCTTGCTTTTTTGGTCACCTCTATAACCGAAAGAAGGTCTCTCCTTTTCCCAATAACTTCATAGATAAAATGACCATCTGGACCAGACAACCCCATAACACCTGGCATCATACATTAGACTCTCCACAACTCACTTGGGTAAACCAGAAAACATTCCAGTCTCATAATGTCATCTCACTTAACCAATTACTTTGCTCAAAGATGCTAAAGCCTTGATCTGGAAGCAGAAGAATCAGATAACATCTTGTGTTCCACAAATCACATTCGTGGAATCTCTGAAAAGGAGAGAGCATCTCTAATGCTCATCAGAAATAGAATATCAAACAAGTCTCATCATCAAACAAATCTCTTGACACAGAAGTTTTCTGCAAGGGTTTCCTTTTCCCCTTCCCTAGTGTGGATGCAGGGTTACCACATAATTGCTCATATGGAGAAACAATTGCCACCAAATGAAGGAATTGAATTGGGTAGGGGACTGATCAAGTCCCCTCTTGAAATATGTAAATTCCTGGTGTCCTCACTCAGATTTCTGCAGTGAGTGGCCTTAATTTAATCCCCTTACTTCACTATGAGTCTTCTCACAAAGCAATATTTATTTATGCCCCACTACTTTCCCTCTTGCCAGAACAAATAGGCCTTAGGGAATGAGACAAAACTTCCTCTCCTCAGACACCTACTGTCTTTTATTAGTCTATCCAAACTCTATTTACTTTGCTTTTTGTTGCTTTTGAACACAAGACTGTCATCTAGTGATCTCTGCACACTAAATACAGTATACACACTGCTTGCTATATCAAGGTGTTGGATTTAGAAGGGTATTTGTCCTTTAAACTTATAAGGGGAAAACAACATTACCTGCCCACCCTCATTCCCAGATTGCAATCCTTGACCCAGACTAGCCAGTTCCCTTCCTCTTTGGAAAGAGAACTCAAGTCTCATGGCATCTCCCACTGACTGCCTGTCTAATTGGAAACAGATCTTTGGCCTCCTACCCTTTCTTGTTCTGACATGTGGATCATTCATGCTAACCAGTGGCCCTGAAGTCCCTCAGACAGATCATTAGATCTGCTCAGCATGGCATGCCCACATCAGAGAAGGTGCTGTGCTCTATGAGCAAAGCAGAATTGAAATAGTTCAAAAGAAACACAAGATGTACAAATTTAGAGAATCCACTCCAAATGCTCACATGGACCATTTGTGCCTGACCTGTGGTAGAACATTCTGAGCTCATATTGGTCTGATCAGCCCCAGTTAGATGTATTGAAACTTGACTAGCATAGTGATGTCAAGTCCTTTGGTCCTTTTCGAGAACAAAGGACAACCACCACCAGATCTGCTTGATTCCCTGACCAGTCTATTTGTGAATTGAGCACAAAACATCTTGGATGTAGAACATGGAGCACAAAACCTTTTAAAATTCAGCTTGCCTGAGGACAATAAACCACTTGTACAATGATATTAAAAGAATGGAAGAGACAGATATTGCAAAAATCTGAGATAGTAATGGTATAGCTAGTGCCCCAAAGTGGCTGAGGCCAGAGTGAGGAAGAGAGAAACAACTATATGGTACTAAACAGTACTACAGTACTAAAAGGTGGCTCACAGAGTTGGAAGAGATCTCCTCAGGGGTCATCTAGTCCAAATTGTCCTTAAGCAGGAACCCTGTTCTAAAACATTCATGAACAATGGTCATCCAGCCTCTGCTTTATGGAAAACTACCACCTAAAGCACCTCACTTTCATTTTTGGACAACATTAATTGTTCAACAATTCGACATTTATTATTCACAAGTTTTTCCTTTTATTAAGTGTTCTCTTCTTTCTCTTTCTACTTTGCAAAAGTATCCAGCAAAGAGAGTTTTTTTTAATATATCTTGAGCTGATCATCTTCTGAGTATTGTCATAATGCATAATTTAATCATGTAGGCCTGAATTCTTTTTAAGATTGTTCCCCAAGAGGCTCAAGTGGACCCAATCTCATATTACTTCCTGTTTTCCTCCTGTAAGACCTAGACATCCAATTGAAAACAAACACTGAGCTATCTACTAAAATGAGGTAAACAACCCAGTCCACTTTCCCACTATCAGTGTCATGGCCTTAGCCACCCAAAAAATCCATTGCTTCTTAAAAAGTGAAACATTCAAAGTAGATGCCAGGAAGGAGGAAGTGCAGCTAGAAGAGCAAAGGGGTTAGGGGTAAGATACAATGAGGTCAGGTTCAGGAATAGAAGCAAAAAAGAGAACAAGGCTGGATCCACAAGCCTGGGATTGAGCCAATTTTTATTGAATGAAAACCCTAGGCAAAGTGCCTATCTACATTCCCATCCCCTTACATGGAGAGGATGTTTTTCATTGTTTAATATCTTGCTACTTATAAAGGCCCAGATAAGTACTCTGGATACAGGCAGTTTAAAAAAAATTTTTTTTTGGAATACATCCCTGAAATTATAATGTCAATGAGAAAATATACTTTGTGTTTTGAAGATTGCTTTAAAAGTTTCCATTAGCCCATTTCTTTAACACGTGGGTTAAAATTCTAACTTCTATATTCATTAGCTGTGTGATTTTGGACAAGTGACAACTTCTCTGAGCCTTTTTCTTTATCTGTAAAATGGATATTATATTTGTACCATTTACCTCACAGTTATGACAAAAGTTATTTGTAAACCTTAAATTATATACATTTATATACACACATATG